GCATTGAGCCGTACCTTTGGACTTCTAGCGTTAGTGGAGAAATACAGAAAGAATAATGTCGCAGTTACAAGCGAGATTCTTCACGGAGAACAAAAGGTGAGCTCTGATTCCCTTTAACGACACATTGGACTATAACTAAAGACACAGGAGCAGCTAGCAGGCTGGCTAACGAGCTGTAACTTACAGTAAACAGTCTTTACTTACCCTTGTATGTGTACTGTAAATGGTAGTTTAGCCTCTAATTATTGTGGATTCACCTATCTAATCCTAATAGATGATTTAACTCACATTTACATCTGTTATACAGCAACTTATCTGATAAATTAATAATTTAATATTTAATGTGTGTATGTGTGTGTGTGGATTTGATTTGTTGCACACTTTGAATACACAATAACCTGTATATATTGTTTTATTTTCTTGTTTTATAGGTATGTTGTAGATGATGTCCCTTTCTCCATCCCTGCTGGCGCTGAGGTGCAGGACCTCAGCAATGTCATCAACAAACTACTGGAGGCTAAAAATGGTAAAGAGAAATCACACTCTGCTTTAAACATGAATACGTATGTTTTACTATGTCTGGCACACAGCTGAGTCTACATTTGAGAGCCCGGTCTTTCTGTAGCATCTTATTGTGAAAGAAATGACACCCGGTTATGTAAATATAAGCACAGTTTATATTAGTACTAAGCATTACTTCTCATTGTGTATATTGTCTTTCTATTCTTTATACCAAGCCTAAGTTGTATCAGACCCTTCACACGTGTAATATCTTGAATTCATATGTTGTTTCTCGTTTCTTACAGCATCTCACAGCAAAGTGGAGTTTGACTTCCTGGTCAGGGGTCAGTTCCTGCGAACGTCGCTCTCCACTCACATGGAGACAGAAGGCATATCCACGGTATGTCCGTCCTCAAAGCTTTAAATGCCGTGTGTCTTTTGCATTAAGGCACTCAGTACTTCTAGTGACTCACAGTTACTAAAGTATGTTTCAGATATTTATGCATCAGCGCGCCTGTCTCTGTGTCTCAGGAAGATGTGGTGGAGATAGAGTACGTAGAGAGGATCACAGCTCCAGAGCCTGAGGAGTGTATGATGCACGATGACTGGATTAGCTCCGTAGATGCCGATGCTGAATGGTAAGATGACACCAAACCCCTGACTAGAAAGTGTATGTTTGTACAATACACTCATTTTTGGGTCTGAATACATTTGTGCTTGAAATTTACAGTTTGCTCACTTTTTATATCTTTTTTTTGCAGGATCCTAACAGGGTCATATGACAAGACGGCCAGGATCTGGTCAGTGGAGGGCAAGGCGGTGATGACGGTGGCCGGACACACAGATGTGGTCAAAGACGTAGCTTGGGTGAAAAGAGGTGAGCAGGACGGAATAGCAGACACCCACTCTGCCGGTAATAACGACACAACCTTTCCTAAAAACATCTGTGTTGGTATTTCTGCGCAGACGGTCTGACCTCTCTGCTCCTGACGGCCTCTCTGGACCAAACCGTCCTCTTGTGGGAGTGGAACTCGGAGAGGAACAAGGTGAAAGCCAGACACTGCTGTCGGGGACACACGGGGAGCGTCGACACCGTTGCCACAGACCCCACCGGCTCAAAGGTAATAGAGGGATGCAGTCGAGATGAGTTGGAGGATGATGAGGGACAACTTTAAGGGCTTTCATGGTTGTTATTTGTGTTTCTCCCACATAGTTCTGCAGTGGCTCCTGGGACAAAATGTTGAAGATCTGGTCAGCAGGTCGGTTGCCACAATGATTGATTGCATCTTAAGCATTACTGAATAAAAAAGTAAATCTCTAACAAGCTACAACCTTTGTCCGGCGCTCTCAGTGCCCACAGATGAGGCGGACGAGGTTGAGGAGCCAGCTGACAGGCCGAGGAAGAAACAGAAGACTCAACAGCTCGGCCTCACCAGAGTGAGTGGGCTATATGTCCCCGATCATATAAAAACCGACGCATTAGTCAAAGTGTCGAATGTAAGGTTCTCGTTTTCTCTCTCTCGCTGACACAGACTCCCCTGATGACGTTATCTGGACACAACGAGGCAGTGTCGTCTGTCCTGTGGTGCGACAGCGAGGAGCTTTGCAGTGCATCGTGGGACCACACCATCCGCGTGTGGGACGTCGAGACGGGAGGAATGAAGACTACGCTGGTGAGAAACGCACTGACAAAGCAGAACTTGTAGAACAAACTGAATTATTTTGTAATAGACAGAAATTTGTGACTTTCTTTGCCCTGGGTTTTGCCTCTCAGTCGACATGAAGGCGAGCTGAACCTGAGAATAAAACTACAGGCACTATTTCATGTTTTTTTTGTCTGCATTTTTATTTACCGTCAGTATCTGAAGGTCTAATTGTGACTTAATGCCTCCTCCATATTTAATAGATGCTTCTTTCAGTCTGAAAATGTTATACACTCTCAGTGAATGTCGTCTCCTTCATGCTTTTGATTGTGTCACATAGTTGCACTTTTAAACTCAAACAGGGAAAACACTGTAGTCTTGTAAAATTAGAAACATTTGGACACTCTTTTATTTGGCATTTCCCATCATAAACTCTTTATTTTTTCTCCTTTCCACAGACGGGCAGTAAAGTGTTTAACTGTATTTCCTACTCACCTCTGTGTCGACGGCTGGCCTCAGGCAGCACGGACAGACACATCAGACTGTGGGACCCTCGCACCAAAGGTACCACGGTGCTCTAAATACCACCGACGTCTCAGTGCCATACACAATCATAGCTGTGTTATAGCAGCAGCTGTTTTATTTCCACCCCCTGCGAGCACTTTTCCTCACTCTTCCTCTTCACGGGTATAAACGCCTCCTCTCCTCTCCAGACGGGTCGCTGGTGCTGCTGTCTCTGACCTCCCACACTGGCTGGGTCACCGCCGTCAAGTGGGCGCCGTCACATGAGCACCAGCTGGTCTCCGGTTCCCTTGACAACCTGGTCAAACTGTGGGACACCAGAAGGTCTGTGAAAGACGTAGTTTACAGTGTGTACTTTGGAATATTTGTGCTCCAGTCAGAAGTTGTAACTGAAACTCGTAGAAAAAGCGCAACACCAACCATGTTTAATACTTCCCTCTGCTCTCTGTGGCACCAGCCCATTGGCTCCCACTGAATGCATAAATCCCAGTTCCTTCTTTTGTATTTTTACTCCATCAAGACTTTTATACTTTCAAATAGACTTTAATTTCATGCTCAGCAGGTAATTAGCACTTATGCTGGGTCATTATCCGGGCTGTTACAGTATTTAAAGGTCATTTGCGCAGACAGGACATCCTGTTCAGTCCACACATCTGAAAGTAAACAGCTTTCTGCCAGAGGTGGAACAAGCTTCCCGTCTTTGTTTATAGAACCAAGGAGCTGTTCCAGCCTACACCCACTGCATCCCAACACTAGTGACTTTTTTGTGGGTCTCATATTCTTCACTGTGTGTGTAATAAAAGGCATTCAGAGAATACAGTTAACATGTATGTGTTTCTTTCCTGTGTGACGCAGCTGTAAGGCTCCTCTGTATGACCTGGCGGCCCACGAGGACAAAGTGTTTTGCGTGGACTGGACAGAAAGTGGGGTAAGATGGAGGATGGATGTAGATAAATGAAACAAAAATTCACCAACATACTGAAGAGTCTATATGTGCCTCATGCAAAATCAGTGTATAATTTGCCATCTCTTTTATCCGTTTCTGTTTGCAGCTGATGTTGAGCGGAGGTGCAGATAACAAGCTGTACACCTACAGATACTCAGCCTGTCAGACAGATGCGGGGGCGTAGGCTCCACATTCGGACCGCAGAGATCCACCTCGTCAATCACTGCACTACGGACAGACCTACCGTATATTATACACAGTATCAGTGTTGTGACAGGCAGACGGAAGCAGCAGTGGTTTTGACTTTTCTACTGTACAAGACGTTGCTTGCTTTGTTTGTTGCTGTCCTGGTTATTTTTAGACCCTCTTTTCATTTTTACGCATTTTCTTATGATTGTCTTTTTTGTTTTCCTGTAACCCCAAGAAAACTATAAATTAATTTTGTCTCCCAAAAAGTCTCCTCTATTTAATGTGTCATTGTTTAGTGTTTTTCTTTGTGAAATTTGTGATATTTTGATGGTGGCTGTGATATAATAACAACTACCAGAAAAAGTTCGACATACAAATCATTCAATTATTGGATTTTTATTGGTTTCTTTACATTCAGGTTGATTAATTAGACTATTGATGATCGAAGTAAGAAATCAGTAATTATGCTCTTATATTGGGAATTTCCATTAAATATTGTGTGTTAGGGTCTGACGTGTTTTACATTTTTTCACATTATTAACTTCCTCATGTTTTCACTAGGAAAAGAAAACCCTGTTGTCTCGTGAATAGCTGCAGATCCTTTTCCTCCTCAGACTGGTTTGACCAGAGAGGAGATAAAACAGAGTTGTCACTCTTATCTCCCCACTTTGACTGTTTTTTTTATTGTATTAAAAGATCAGAGTCTGCTTTTATTGAAAAGATGATATAGATATGGCTAATTCTGCCATTTTATTGACTTTTTTTCCTTTGAAACCAAACCAAACCTAACAAGCAGAGAAACAGGGAGGTTATAATCCAACTGAAGCAGTTTAAAGCGGGTTGATAAACATTCATCCTCTCCAACATTTATCAGATAAGGCAAATGATAAAAAATGTCATAAACCACTCTGCAAACGTGAGTGGCCCTTGCTTCAATAAGCTGACCAGAAAAAGACTCCCACATTTCATTCACAGATCTTATCCACATCCAACCTCTCACTAGCATCAAATTAAAAACCCCTGCTTCCTCCGAGCAAGACACCTGCAACACATTGAAAGTGAGGATCCTGGTTATGAGGCTTTTAGGGGCCACTCTTATTATCTTCCACATCTTTGCAATAGAAGATCTTCGGTGTGGCCTGAGCAGCAGCAGCAGCGCCCCCTGGTGTCCGGACGGCGACACGGCCGCTTTGCATATCCTGTTTCTGTGAGTCAGTGATCGGCTGTGTGAGAGGAGGCTAGCAGAGCTGCGCCGCATAGATGCTCGCACTGCTGGATAAAGCCAAAAGCAAGGTGAAAGGTACAGTTATTTTTGTTTTATTATTATTACTACATTATGAGTATAAGATAAAACCACGCTCTGGTTTAATTTAAATGTCCATAAAGGTATTTTTTTTCCTAACATGGCCTCGACAGTCGCTGCTTAGCTCCGCTGCTCCTAGCACACAACAAGCTGCCTCACTGACGTTTTCTAGCAGGTTTTGACGGCTACAGTTTCGACTTATTTCTACGTGCACACCTTTATCGTGAGTGCATCCGCAGGATTTATGAATGCCACCCTTTTCTTTGCTCTTTTTTTCTCTGTTTCCGTGCCACGAAGGCAGCATTTGTTGTAACTGAACACCTGCTCGGCAGCCAGCTGGCTCCTGAGTCCCCTGAAGTCGCAGGTGTCTGCTCCCTGCTCCCAACAACCATGTTAGATTAGGTTGTTTCGCCTGTAGCACCGATGGGTTTTGGTCCAGCCACAGATTATCCCGGTCTGACAACCGCTTATAACCCCATTATAAATGCACTGGGGAGGGAAACAGCTGTTGTTATCGTGCCTGCTGATGTGTGTGTGTGTGTG